GTCACCGACTCTCTGGTAATAAAGAATTGGGTTCAGCTGTTATCAAATCTCTCGTGCTGGTTCACGGCTGGGAGGGTACAATTTTCAAGAGCGAACGAAAGTACTTCTGGCTCAGAACAGATTTCCATCTGCAATGACTTTTAATTGTGATCGTGATTCGAGACGCTGCGAGCGTGTATCTACCGGTCGAAAATAATCGTGCTAGCCGAGGCTCTGGCACGGAAAGGGTGAAGCGAACGGAAAGAAGAAGAGGCTGGAAACGCGGGGGAGGAGATCGTTCACAATAGCCGTGCTTTACCGCTCATTAGAGGCGGGGTCATAGGTCGCTTGGAACCGGCGCTTTGTGCCTCTCGTTCCTGTAACTCACGTACAAACAATGTCCACGCACGGTGGATAACCCCCTTCGGCCCGTGTATGCGAGAGCCTAGCGTGTACAGCCCCCTCGGCCGTGTTCGATCCTTTGTCCAAAAGTCAGCGGCGTTAATGAAGGGAGAGTCATTTTTATCCGGTGGACCATATACCGTGGGCGTAGTCCACGGCCAAATCGAGAGCAGCCCGTGTTATGGGATCGACGCGAAGCGACGTGTCGCGATAAATCGTGCTTCCGGGTTTGCGTAACTTCCATGGAATGCATCGAACAGAGGATTCGTTCAAATGATCCGCGATATTTTTCGCGAGACCAGAGAAAAATAAAAAACGATGCAGCCTTAAATATCGAGCAGAAATATATTATTAATATTATAATAAGAGACTGTCATTCGATTATGTAAAACCCGAGAGGTTTGCTTGATTAACAGGGCAATCTCATTAGTCGAAACATCGCGGTTGGTCACGGAATTAGCCAACGCTAGACATTGTCTCGATCGAACATGAATATAACAACGCGTATGATCGATGGGTGATGCGCGCATGCATCATCGGCCGGGTAAAGAGGGAACGATCGAAGGAAAGAACGGGGCGCGTCGATCTCAACTGGGTCGATCCCGATGGTCTATAATCCAGGCAGTGCCGCCGACAAATGGAGTGCTAAATAATCTCTCGACGAGAGCGGAAAAACGAGCAACAGATGCAGCACGAGCGAGGTGCCCGGGGAGCGACGCTCTCGCTACCCGAGTAATAAGTCATCGGAGAGTATCGAAGATGATCCCGCGCGTCTTCCCTCGCGCGAGATCCGGTTCTGGCCGGGAGCAATTTTCAAAATTGCCACGATTAATTCCGAATATCGCGTTTGCATTTTCTCCGTTCGACATCTCCCGCCCGGTGTACTCGTTTTTAAACACTGCTCGTCGAATTATTACGTCGACTTCTGTCTGAATGAGCAAAATCTTCCTTAAGTATTTGTAAGCGTTTATGTTCACGCTCGCTACAATCGTATGCAACAGTCGTTGTACTGTTCGGATTGATAATTACACCGAGACGCTTTGCTGACATATTTTTATGAAGGGAAGTAGTGATAATACGAAACGATTTTTTCCTCGAGGAAGCAAAGCGTTTCCCCGGGCAGAACGTGCACTCGGGCGAGTAGGAAGAGCCGGCCCGGCGGCGTGGCGGCGGATTCTGCGAAAAGGGCCGCGAGAGGACTCGGATAAAAAAAAGGAGAGAAGAAAGGGGGAAGCGAAATCCCGAGACGAACCCGTGCGTCGTCGCCGTTCTTGTCGGCCAGGCAGACGGCAGCAAAGGGGAACACCCTGTACATGCCAACGACATTCCCGAAGTGCAGCGTGCAGTTTTTCGCGGCTACCAAGCGCGCGTACTCTCTTCCTCTCTCTTTCCTTAACGAGAAGCCGTGACTCACGGACGGCAAGGGCGAACACGCACGTGCTCTCTCTTCCAACGAGTGCACGTAGGTACACGCGTGTAGATCTGTCCGTACAGGGTGTTTACGTTAGAAATAGCGACGGTCTTCCCCAGGCCTTGGACGACGAAAAGAGTATCGAACGCTCGTACGATATAAATAGAAGTGAATTCACTGACGTCGATTATAAATTTTGCAACTTTAAATCATTTTTCTATATCGATCCGCGAGCATGTCTTCTAATCTCAGTACGAAGAATCCAACTTTCAACAAAGAATCGTTAAACGCAAGGCGCCACTAAGTCGGATCATTGAAGCGAGATATCGATCTAAGTAAATCGGCGAACGAATTGAAAGGAAGTCACCCAGTATAAAACGCGATCGGATTCGTGTGGACGCGTACACGTGTACGTATACGTCTCGAGCATGTTCCGTTGGACGGGGTCCGTCGGTGTGCAAGTGGATCGAAAGATCGAAGCCGGGAGACGAGGAGGAAAAAGAAGAATACGACGGGGACGAGGACTGCTACGAGGACGAGTGGAACGACTGCGGAAAAGAGAGAGAGGGGGAGTAAAGCGCGAGATTTATTTGCCCGAATTTCGACGGTTGGCCGATGTACCGTGGCTGCTTCCAAGGAATGCATTTCGCATTCGGGATCTTCCACAGGAATATGTGTCTGCGGCGCGGGGGTTCGAGGTTTCCTTCTCGGACCCGCTGGACCAGTCGCCACGGATTTGTTATTGTTTTCGGAGACGGCGTTTCAGGAGCCGTTCCAGCCTCTCTCAGTGATCTAGTCTTTCACGGGCCAGACAAAAACATCGACGTACTCTAGGTACTCGTATTTTATAAAGAAAATGCGTGCAACGTTGACTCGCACGTTTCGTTACTTACACCGTGTTTAATATTTATAATTGGCTATTTGTACGTTTATCTCCTCTGTACTTGATTGATATTGTATTTGATGATTACACTATCATATTCCAAGAACGACGACTCTCCGGGAGATCCCGTTTACTGGTTGCCACGTGGAACTAGTCGATCTTGGTTTCCGCGTGAAACCAGTAGTGGCAGCTTATTCGGATGATGTATGGCCGGCGATACGAGACGTAATTAGTATTCCATCGGGGGGAAGGATCCGAGTCGTGTATCTCCATATTATCGTAATTATGTTCAGACTAAAAGGGCGATGGAGAGGAGGAGAGAGAGACACTTTGAAGGATTCTCACCAGAAACCAGTATAAGTTGCGACGCAACGTCCCCGGCGTTAAACGCCTGGCGTCTTTTACCGTTCCCGTATTAATCGAACCGATTAAAGCCGGATTGTTCGTATTTACGTTGACTACAGAGTCGAAAGAGATGCAAAGCGCATTCTTAAAAATCGCGAGGAGTCGAATCGATTTCGAATGATATACCGATCAGAAATATCGTGGACGTAGAGTGTCGTTAACCTTCGAGTCGATCGGTCGAACGCAGGATCGGCGCGGTCGAGCCGCTGTCCGATGGAGAGATCGACGAGGTCGGTGATGTATCGTTTCTGATCGAACTCCCCTCCCGAAATCGGCGCTATTAGGCCGTTGGCATCGGTTTTTACCGTCCAACCGAAAGGACTCCGAAGAGGGTAGGGGCACCGATCCCGTAACGCACGCACGGGGCGCGTTTTTAAACTATAATGCCGTGTTCGAAGGGCCGACACGGGGTTCGCCATTGATCACCGCGTTTCAGGGACTAGATTTATGTCGACGAATGATTCACGGCGTGATTTACAGCGGATTGTCCGACGCGCGCATACTGATTGACCATTTATTCCGTTCACCAGACGCGGCGCGTCGCTTGCCCACTAATCACTTACTGGGTTAAGGTGAAATCTCCTCTTTCTCCGATCGGGGCGTCGGCGTCGCGTCGTTTTTCTCTCGGGTTTTCTCAGCCTCGGCGAAGGTGACCCATTCCGGACGACCACCCGAGTCGAAAGTTCGAACTTCCTGGTTCGAACGAGGAACGGCCCCTATCGTGTTCGACGAGAAGAAAGTGTGGAACCGCGCGAACGATACGGCCGTACAGCGTTGATCTCGGCTTAATTTTAACTTTAACGCCGCGTCGACTCTTCCTGCATTGAACAATCTAGAATCAATTTAGAATTTTGTGAATCTCGATTGACGCATTCAGAAGAGTCTTCTGCGAGTCGAATATCGGTAAACGATGTACCAGTTGGCGCCGCCCACCAGGTAATCTCCTCCGTCTGTACTTGCTCCGCTCCGACAAAATCACGGTCTCATCGATTTCATCTCGCCGCAGTTGGCTCCGGCATAAACGGAGAGAATCCCTCTTCGAACGAGCCGCGTTTTTCCGTGGCCTGTTACTTAAGAGTCGGTAGAACACGGCCGGTACTCGAACGAACCCGCGTGTTTTCTGTCGGCGTGGCGAATCAGCCGAAAGTCCCGCGGGACCGCTCTTCATCCTTTTTCCGAACCGCTCTCGGAGTCCTCGACCGATTCGTGGCTCGATCACGAAGGCAGGGCACGCGTCTCGCCCGTAGAATGTCGTCGTAACGAGGTGTTCCACCCCGCCGTCCCTGGCCGCCCCTCCTCCACGAACGAAAACCCGGTTGCGTGCACGGAGCGGATTTCTCGTCGTTCGTCTGGTTCGCGTCCAGAGAGGATGATCCCTCCGTACGCGGCAGGGTAGGGACCGAACGTTTAAATTAGGCAGGGAATCCCGTGGAATCCGCGAAAGAAACGGGCCGCACGGCATTCCGCGAGGTTTTGATACGCCTTCGGGCATATTGGTCGCCCGGGGGTACCATTAGCCCTTATGCGGTGGGAATGACTCCTGGGGGCCCTAACCGGTCGCCATTCTTTCGCGCGCTCCAGCGCGGTGGGCCCCCGCGTTTAAACGCTTGCACGCTCTAAATCCTACGTTTAATCGGGCCGCGAATTCGTCCCCGGTGATCGATGGGGTCGTCGATTCGCGCGCACTCGGTCCGACGCCGAACGGAAAAAGAGAGGCTCGCGACGCTCTCTGCTCGTCGTAGCTGCGCTCGAGTATTTTATTGCCGCGTCGTAACGCGTACCTACGTGGGAGAAGATGAACTCCGCTGTACGTCCGTCCGCGAGAGACCGTATCGACGTCTATGGAATTTATATTGGTTCTGTTCTGTTGGTATTCTTTGGTGACGCTCGCAATAATCGTTAATCCCGGTTGGGTTTCAGAGTCTGGCCACAGGTTGGACAGCGGCTCCCCGTTCTGGAGGATTCAGCTCGATCAGGATCTCCTGGACACCATCAGCGCGATATACCCGGAGTGGTTTAAGGTAAGCTGCTACCTCTGCTTGTTCCCGATCGGCCTTCGAGCGTCCTTGAAACGATATAACGAGGATAACGAGGTGCGCTCCTCGTGCAGGACTACACTAATACCCGAGCCTCGACCTCGTCCTCGCCCGGCACCGCTTCCGATGGTCAGTTGAACGCCGAGGGCATCGTGGCCGCCGACGCTAGTGCCGTCCCCGAATACAAGGTCACCAAAGGTGACGCAAAGTCGACGAAGTCGAAGGCGAAAAAGGCGGACAGCCTCAAGGACAAGGAGAGGGACCGGAAGGAAGCCAGACGGGAATCCAAAGACGAGAGGTGATTACTATGTGCAATGAATTTGCAAAACGAGATCCTCGCGAGTTACTGACCCCTCGAATTCTGGGCTCGTTCAATCCATTTTCTGCTACGATCTATCTGGGTTAACTTCTTCGGATGAATAAAGCCAACCCAGTATAATTCAAAGCAGTTGGAATCATAGTAAGGACTTGTTTTTAATTTATGTTCTTTGCATTTCCGTTATCAAAGTAGCGCCTGTTCTTTAGCCAATCTCTTTTCGCGAATCACCAATTTATTTCTCTTCGAAATTCCTTTCCTCACAAGGTTCCTTTCGTGAATCTGAACGCTAGACAGTTTAATATTATACGTTCTACGTAACAAACATCCTCCGCTTCCTTTCTTTCTCTCTCTCTATCTCTCTCTCTCTCTCTCCCCCTATCATTGCCAAGCGTCTTGAAACGTTTCATCGGAGACGGTATTAATTTTATCTGAACTTTCTACGTTTGGCACAGCGGTTATCTCGGTGGCAACGGTTTATACGCGTTCCCGGCTCGAATGACCCGATTTTATGCGCGATTTCAGCACGTCGTCCATCCTTCGTGAACCGCTCGCGACGCCCGCGAAGATAAACCGTATCGATGTTACACGCCGACTTATCGCCCCGCGCTAAATCATTTCGCCGATCCGAAAGGGTGGAGGATGTAACGGCTTCCGAGTACGAGTATCCGCGGCCGCGGGCGGTAGTAACGTAAATAAACGTGGTTAATAAAGAAACGAGATAGCGCGCGATCGTAACATAGTCGCCGAGAGTCGCACGAATCCGCGTACATATTCCTACGTGTTTCTTGATAAACTTTAATTGGCCAGTTTTGTTACGTAGAACAGCTGACGTCGCAGAGCATCGCGCGGTTTAATGGAGGTTCTCAACGATAAACTGCGATACTCGTTCGCACCGCCTTGCAACAGGCCGCAAATAGATACATGAAGGAGAATAAGAATTTCCTCGTAAATTTATGGACTGTAAAATTGTTGGGAAATAAATTCATCGACGCGTTGAGATATACGATATTGTTTATTATATGAAATCGTCAGAATCTGAAATGTTGCCATGATCGAACTTGAGATTGCTCGTAAAAACGAATGGCAGCGTTGATTGAATAGAGCGTAAAAATTCTGGGCGAATAAGAAATCCGTTCGATCGGACACTAATATGCCAGAGGGATTTCTTGCCTAGAACCGTTCAAAGGGGTCGGTCGCTCGCGATCCGGGGGGAACGGGAAGGGAGACAGAGAGGAGGGGATCGGTTTTCGTCGCTTTCTGATGAAAACGTTCCATCGGCTTCGATCCGGAGTGTCGATTGATCCGTCATTCCTTCATCATCGGCAAAAACATGGGTGGATGATGGCCCCGGATCCCGGGATTGACACTCGTTTCGCCGGTCTCGTGTCTCTCGGTCCTTCTTCCTCCGACCGATTCCCCCCGCGCGGCTCGACGCATCGACGTATGAAAGATTAATTCACGAAAAACGGGACGTTTTGCTCGTTTCGCTCGGACCCGCAGGGACGGTGGAAACGGCAAGAAGGGGACGAAGCCCTCGCCGCAGCAGGACAAAGTGGCGGACGTGGCAGGAAGGAAGACCGCGGGTGGTGTTCCAGGATCGCAACAAGGCGGAGAGATGGCCGAGGGTAATCAGTCGCCGCCGAAGGCGGAGGTCGACGACTCGCCGCTTCAACACGCCATGGATCGCAACAAGGAATGTGAGTACATTTACATTTTATTGCTACCCTTTTTTGCCCGGCCGGGTCCCCGTGTCCTTACGGTTTATGACCCTTAAACGAGTGGAGTACGCCGCACCGCCGCGGTGGTAATGCATACCCTGCGCCGCCGGTTCTTGCCTCCCCGCTCGATTCCCCGCGTTTCGTCAACGATCCGTCGCGATTTTCTGGACGATTCCGATCCGATACGATCCCCTCGAATCGTCCAGAGCGATACGTTTTTATCGAGTCGAGATGCCGCTTCGTAAACGCGATTCCCCCGTCGATCTCGGTTCACATTCGACGGGAGGCCGAGTACACTTTATCACCCTACGTTTTTATGAATCATATACATCTTTCTATGACCGACGTCTACTCGTATAGGATTTCATTTAAATCTGAAAATTCGAGGGACAATATAATTCTGTTATGAAAATAATAATTGATCAGTGACAAGCAAATTGCTCGGAGCTTCCCGTTGCATCGGGAGGCACGTCCACGACTCCGATGAGCGTCCATCGATCGGTCGATGAATCTTGGGTTCCAGCGCGCGCGGAGGAGGAAGTGTCGGTCTCGACGTCCGGAATAATCGATGAAAACGGTTAACGGTTTCACCGCGCCGGTACGACGACGGTTCGCTTCCGATCGAACGCGTGAGCTTTGCCTCGGTTGCTATACGAGTTTCCGATCGCGCAACTATGTTACGTGCGATCCAGCGTTGCAGTTATTCGTGCATCGTACATGCTCTTAGTATAGCTACAAACATTTGCCTATTTTTCTCTAGTTTGAGTTGTTCCAATCAACTTTTCATTGCTGACGATAAAAGGTGTAGCAAGTACTTTTTGAGAAATGTTGAAGAGATCACCTCTTCGCTACTTAAAAGTTAAACGGTGTCTCGGTCCGATGCGAAACTCGTGGCTCGCAAGAAAGTTATACCGACCACCGGCGCGAGTCGGACGTAACATCGGCCCCGAACATCGGTTCGAGCAACACCGTCGAACAATAATACAACAAGAGGCCGGTAATAACTCATCGCAAGGCGGAGTAGGTAGGTTGGTACACGAACGGACACGCACGCAACCGGGACAATGCGACGAAGCCGCGGTCAAAGTAGAATGAGGCGCTGCACAATATTGCGTCGGATCCCGAAAATTGATTTCGCCTCGCGAACGGACGAACGAGCCGCTGGTCGGTTTTTGCCGTTGCTCGTCGCATACGTTATCCGGGTGCAGCACGCGAGCAACGCCGGCCGGGATCGATCGACGTATAAATACGTCGAGACGGCGGACGCGCGGTGCGACCCCCGCGGTGTGTTTGTTCCGCGTCGGTACTCCTTTTCTCTTCTTCGTATCTCTTGCCGACGATGAATCGTAACGCGTACAGCCGGTCCTCGTTAAAACCCGAGTCGGACCACCGGCTACTCTTCGAACGTCATTTCGTCGCGTTCGACCCGATCTCCTTTCTTTTTATAATTGCTTTTTGCCAATCGCCAACGTACAACGACGACCTCGAATCGCCGGTCGACGTACAAGCGATATAAAATTTACCGATAACTGGCTCACTTACGTGACTACATTTTCCATCTGGGAATTTCATTGTCACCCTTCGATGTCATCTAATAATATTACATTATTCGTTGGCGACGGTTTACAGAGCAGCGAACGGTCGTGACTCGTTTCTCCACGTCCTTCCATTGTCCCACTCGGTCGCGTTCCTTGGAAAGCGACTGGAATCTCGCCCCCTCGAGAATCGACGACGTCGCAACTAGTGAAATATCCAGAACGCGTTCCCGCGAGAGATTTTCCCGCGTGAAAACCGACAGTGGGACGTCCAGCCCCCGTAATTCCGAAGCGAGTCGCGTTCGCAAACACCTGTGTGGAAACTGTCTCCGGCTGATAATTCACTTGGTGTTACGTCTCGCCGCTTCCCTTGTACATGATCGTATGAGAGTTACCTGCGTGACAGCATCTCACGAAGCCAGTTGCCCGATCGATGGGCGTAAGACGAATTAAAATATCCGTTACCGGCTTACCAGCCGGTCAAATCATCTCTACACCTGCGCGTTCACAATAGTGAATCGGCAGAATTCGAATTGAAATCGCGTGTATACTTAGCTGTGCGTACGCGAGGGAGAAAGAGGCGAGGAAAGGGAGAGGGAGTCGCGCGTTCGAATATTCGAGCGGACAGGTAGGTGCGCTCGAATACGCGACTCGGTGCAGCAGGTATAAATATACGGGGAACAGGAGGCGTGCCTATTTATAACGGTGATATCATCGACGATTACCTACGCTTTCGCGTGAACAATCGTAAATTCTCCCGGCGAAAGGGTGCGGAACGATTTCAGTACTTTACTCGAATCCCTCGATCTCTTTCTCGCTTCCGGCGCTCGCCTTTTCCCGGATCCCTCCGAACGAAATCTGTCTCGAGACCGTTCGCTCGCACAGACGAGAGAGAGGAAGAAAGAAGGGGAGCGTGACTCAAAAGTTGGAGTCGCGAACGATTTAACGTCGATTTCGTATCTCGATAGGCCCCCGTGTCGCGTGGGCAAAACGGTGCCTTCGAAATTTACTCGGCCATTCTACGCGGTTTGAATCGCGAAAGCTGCTACGTCGTGTCATTTTCCAGCGACTCTTCTTCGCGTAAATTATTGTACGCACATTGTATGTACACGACAAGGGTGAAAAGCGACTGTGCGAGTTCCTTAGAATTTATTCATCTATTATTCCTTCTCTCGAGCATTCCGACGTCGCGTTCGTAAAACGGAGAGAGAAATCGGAATTTCATTGGCGCATGCGGAACCTGACAAGAGACAACTCTTCTAAAATGCTCTTGAACGCGCGATTAAACCGACTGGAAACAGGGATGTTGTGCGTTTCTCGCGACGGGGACACCCGGAGTCGTCGCTTAATGACCGAAGTTCGCGAAGGTAATTATCGGTCGCAGGTTTGCACTCGAAAAATGCATGCAAATATTGAGCAGCAAGGAGGTCCGAGTTCGATGTCGACTCGTCTGCCGTTTCGTAATGGAAAATTATGTCAGGATTATGCTTGCCGCGACACGACCGAGCGGAGGCTTCGTTCACGAGCCGATAACCTCGGGTTGGCCGCGGCCGAACGCTTAATGAGACGTCTTCATTAATGGAACGTCCCACGCGACGACGATCCTCGTTTTCCATTATAACGGCGGCCGCACCACCACGGCGGTCCGGCTTCTTTTTGTCCCCCTTCAGTCCCTCCTTCTCTCTTAAGCTCGAGGAAACTCGACGCGGATACATTTTCACCGCCTTGCCTCACCACACATATTCTCTCTTTCTCTCTCTCTCAATCTCTCGTTCTGTCTTTCATTCTCTCTCTTGGCCAAACGAATTTCATAATGGCCGGCTAATTGGCCCAGCCACCGATTAAAGCGATACACCTCCCGATTTCTTTACGAAAGACGGCCCACCTTCCTACCTGGCCTCGACATTTTGGTTCCTTTATAACCATACGAGTGGGTGATGATTATTGGAAATCGACATGCCGTTACTTGAATTCCTGAAAATTATTTCCTCATGGAAATTTTAATTCTCATTTTTTTAATTAATTCGTTTAACGAGTAATATCTTAATAACATCCAATTTTCTCATTCCAAATTCACTCCAAGGATAATGACTTTTATATGCCCTAACTTTTGTTTCGATAACTGTTATATTTCTACGGTCACTCTTGTGTTAATTATTATAAATGGCAATAGTTAGTCTCTCATACTGGATTTCGATAAAATATCTTCCAATCGAAAGCACAGTTTCTTGATAACGAAAAACCGGTGAAGATTCGTCTCAACGATTTCTTGTCTCCACCCGCGTGATCTTCGGATGCGGGTGATTCCAAGTAGAATCGATAGTCCGACATTTATGCTTTTTCCTCTAAACACGTAAAGTCGTTCGGCTACGCCTTTACGGGACATAATTATACGGCCGTGCGCTTTGAAAAATCCATTCGGCGTCCAATTACCGAGCCGGCGCCGTTTTTCTACGTGACGCGGCTCCGGTTACGTTACTCGCGTAACAATCTTTGGTGAAATTAATTAAATGAAAAGCAAGACCCCTCTCTCTCTCCCTCTTTTTCTTGTAACTTTCGGCTCTCGCTCTTTCCCGACCTGCTACGGCCGTAAAACCGCCGTTCGGTGTCGGCTTTTTACGGCCTTGTTCAACGCGCGCGCGCGCGAGCACTCGTTCTCGGAGGGTTAAGTCAATTTTAAATTCACCTTAACCCATTTCGAGGGTTACAAATCTCCGCTGTTTATCTCAACATTTAATAATCGCATCGAATCGGATTTTTCAACGCCAAGTGGTATTTACTGTTTATTTCTACAATTAAACGAACGACAACTTTATTTCTTATCGAGAAAAGATAGAATGTCATTAAGTACATTACGATTGACAATTGACCGTGGTATAAATTCATGAATCACGATAAGATGAAATTTTTATGTCTTATTTTAAACGCTTAGGAACGTCTGTCCATAGAATTATAACGACGTTATTGCTACACTTCTTTAAAGCTGAACCATTCGCGTAGACACATCTCGCAGCAGAAAGTTCAACGAGCGCGTAGGACGCGTTCAACATCGTTCCTCTCCATTCGTCAAGATCTCCGCGGTCTCCGGATGAGAAACTCGCGATCAGTTTCACTTAAAATTCCGTTCTTTCCAACACTCCTCGCTGTTCGATGATTTATGACGCTCGTTTCCATACACCCGCTTTTCGTCCCTGGATTTTAACGAGACTCATCGTTTTCCACTTCAAGTATCACTAGTACTTATCATGACACAGGGTATTACTTACGACACCAATTTGACAAGTATATTATGTAAACGTTTACATATTTTATGTTAATACTTTTAAAACCGCGGTTTTAAAAATTGTACTCTAAAAAATAGTTTTATTAATCTAATTTTAATCACGTTTTCCAAGTGTATTAACATTCCTCTCTCGAATTTTCTAACGAATTTTCACTTTTCAA